GTCTCCTCTTCTCAAATTGTCCATTTTTCTGCACGATCCGAGACATCAGTTAGAGAGACATCACTGTATCTTTTCTGTTTCATCTCCGTGTCCTCGTCCACACCTGGGGACTCTCTGCTGGACTGTCTGGGACAGAGGACCTCGACGGTTTAATCACCGTTGTTATTTGCTTATTCAATTCCAGCTTGTCCATGTTCCCGACCGAACGAACGTCTTGACCCAGATAGAACAGGAGAGAATCCCTGTGGAACCATGTTCGAATATAGTTCTCCGTTCTTGCTACAGGAACGGCCGGTAAGCCCCACTTTTCTAAATTGTAATTGTAGCTTCCAGCGAGTAGGACATCCTCGACTATTATTTCCCAGTATATTCCAGTCTCTGCAACAACCCTTTCAGAATGTTTATTCATTATTTACGGTAGGGCGCAACGGTACCGCCGGTTAATCCACGGCCACGGAAACGGATACGCGTCGGTCCCAAGGTTTTATTGTTATTATCGTTGTTATTTCCACGGGCGAGCAGTTCGGCCCCGGTCGGCTCTCCGGTTGTTCGTTAACTTTGTCCCGCGGTGAAAAGTAGCCGGCGGAGTCTGGGCACATCCATATTCCGAAATGGCATAAGTTGTTCGCCTTATCTCGCCGGATGCGAACAGCTACGACGGGAGCGTCGGGACGTGGCCGGGATGCAGCATCCCCGAGTGCAACCTTGCAGGAAGGAACGACCGCGGTGCACAACACCTCGTTCCATAAGCTCCCGTTATGACTTTTCTTACTGCCGCAGTTTCGGGCCCCGTTCCGGTATACGTCCGCTAATTATCAAGTGCTCGAATAGTCGTCCGCTCGCGAAATTACCACCCGCATTAACGCGTTAAGCCATTTTTGCGTCCAGCCGCTGGCCAGCTGTACAGCGTACAGTAATGTCTCCCTAACTGACGCGCTCAGATTGCGCACAAAAGCGGACAATTTGGGAAGAGAAGATACGATTTATTCGAGCCTCGCGGCTCGTTTTTATGTTTCTTGACAATTTGTAAATGTGAAAACGAACCGCGAGGCTCGAATAATCGCATTCTCTTCTCTTCCCAAACTGTCTATTTCTGTGGACAATCTGAATGTCAGTATGGGAGACATTACTGCACTTTAGATCTACAGTAATGTCTCCCTAACTGACGCTCAGATTCTGCACAAAAATGGACAATTTGGGAGAGGAGATACCATAATTCGAGCTAAAAAATGAGCCACAAGCCTTGAACAATCGTATCTCCTCTTCCAAAATTATCTATTTTTCTGGACAATCCGAGCGTCAATTAGAGAGACATTACTGTACCGCGAATTCTCTCGCGTGTCTCGTCGAAATTTCGTTCTTACGCTATTCTCGAACACGCGTTCTCAGTCTCGTCTACCATAGTTTGGTTAATTTTTATCAAATAGTAAAGAAATGATTCGTCCTCTATCAATGCTGCGACTTGTCTCCCTTTTTTGCATTCGCAATCGCTGAAATTGTAAAAATGGTTTCACGCGACACGTAAATAATACTATTATTATATAGTATAATGCTATTATTATATAGTATAACACTATACTACAGTGTATCCCGAAAATGTCTCGCAATCCGGAAATGAGAGGTTCCTGAGGTCATTTGAAGCAACTTTTTCCTTTGCAAAAATTTTCTCCGAGGCTTCGTTTACGAGTTATCAACGAAAAACTCTGACCAATAAGAGGCGAGCTCGGCTGGCGCGCGGCGACCCAGCCAACGAGTGCACGGAGCCTAGTTCCGCTCATTGGCTCGGCCGTCTCGCGCCGAATGATCTCGTCCCTGATTGGTCACTGTTTTTCATTAATAACTCGTAAACGAAGCCGCGGATCGCATTTTCGCTAAGGAAAAAGTTGCTTCAAACGACCTCAGGAATCCCCTACTTTCAGATTGCGAGACATTTTCGGGACACCCTGTATAATACTATTATCATATAGTATTCTACGACAGAAATCGTACGAGAAGTTTTTAGTAAATCCAATCTGGTCATTATTATTTTAAAACGATACTCGTTAGAGAACGCGATAATTCTAGCCTTAATTACGAATTTATTATTGGAATGTTTCTGTTCGAAGAACGACAGTACAGCATCGCGTGTTAAATGTCGTCATCCCGTTGCCCACGGTGGCTCGGATAACGTCATTTTCGCATTCGCCGTTGTCTTCGCTTCGAACACGCGTTATCGGATGCGACGTTATTTCGAATTTGTATCGACGTTATTTCGCGCCGTTTCCGCGAATCGATATTTCTTCGATAATTAAATATCGAACCTGCCGCGTACGATAAATCGGTCGAGACGTACCTATCGATTCGCGTCGTTCCGAACGTTCCGTAACTGGAACGTGCATCCTCTCTCTCTCTCTCTCTCTCTCTCTCTCTCTCTCTCTCTCTCTCTCTCTCTCTTCGTTACACCGTGTAATTTACTTAGCGAGAAAAGAGCGCGGGCGATTATTCGAATTTCTTGTCATTGATCCGGTCGTGCGCTTTGAATTATGTTGGCAAGCGTGCAAGGGACGCGCAACGGCGTCGAATGTCGTGTACGCTCCAAAACAAAAACAAAGCCGACACACGACCGACGACGACTGGCGCGACAAATGTCATTGTATCCCGGGTAACAAGTACAACGGCGACAGGATTTTTTTCAGAAACCTTGTTGCTGCTGGTGCTGCAGCTTTTACCCTGGTTAAAGTAATTACGATAACCTGTTAATCGCGTATCTGCCACCTGTCAATTATAAACGTGGATGCTTTTCATCGATCACGCTCGTGTCACCGATGCTCAACCATATATATGTATCTATATACAGGGTGTCCCAGGTTTTAATGTTCAAACTTTGTCAGTGTATTCTATGGCACAAAGTAAGAAAAAAATGTTATGTGAACATAGGTCATATAGAGCTTTATTAAGAAGTTATAACAAAAATTCAGAATAGGTATAGTAATCAACTTGCTGTTACTGCGAGCATTGGCTCGAATAGCTCAACACATGCCATGTGTTTATGTAAACTGTGTTGAATTAATACATTTCGAAACGTATTAATAACCGTTGTTGACAATACATGATCGACATCGATCGAAGATTTTTTTTATTTTTTATTTTCTTTTTTAGTCGATTACTATTCCTATTCTGAATTTTTGTTATAACTTCTTAACAAAGTTCTATATGACCTATGTTTACATATTTTGATATTTTTATATATTACATATATTATATAATATACATATGATATACATATATACATATATTATATATTACATGATATTTCTACATATTTTTGATATTTCTATACGACCTATATTTTCATACTTTGTGCCATAGAATATACTGACAAAGTTTGAACATTAAAACCTATATATGTATGTATATACTGTTTGCCCGATGATCTGAAAAACTTCGCTTAGTTCTACGTTTCTCGGTCCGTAATCTACGCTTCGGTTCTCAAATTAATAATTCAACACTGCTTAATTATTGAACACACTCGTATTCTACGAGCAATCGATATGACCCCGATAGGAATACTAGGTTTTTAAAAATCGAACCCGCCACGCGATCGATTCACGTTTTCATCGTAGTCCGAGACTTCCGTCGAAGCTGGTTTTTCCTCCACTTTTGAACAGCCACGGTTTTAAGACGCGGTTCGCAATGACATAACGGTATCGGGTTTTAATAAAGTGCACAGAAAAAATACGCTATCGACATTGTTTACCGCTGGACGCTGATCGGTCAGCGAAACGTTTCGACTCTCTGCACCAGGGGTGTCAAACTCAAAAGCTAACTTGGGCCATAATAATAAATAAACAATGCTTAACTTTAGGTGGACCGCAAAAAAAAAGAAAAATCAATGTTCGTAGAAACAAATATTTTCATTTTGACTAGTACATTGTAATAAACATATATGAAGTTAGTAATAATAGTAATAATAATAGTAATAATAGTAATAATAATAGTAATAATAATAGTAATAATAATAGTTAGTAATAATAAAGTTGAATTATTGTTTACGTCCTGATACTTGACATCAAAAATGTTCATCTCGGGCCGCGAGTTTGACACCCCCCTGCTCTACACACACACACACACACACATGAATTTGTACTTCTCGGGCCCCGCGTATCCTCCAGCATATTAACGCTCTCGCGCGGGAATCCCACAACTACAGCTTGCTAAATTCCATGTAGAACCGAGAAGGGTGACCGTGAAGTCACCACCCATAAAAAGAATATTTACATCGCGTCCTTCTTCTTCTTCTTCTTCTTCGTGCCATGAAAGCTTTGTATACGTTTCTTCATATCGAATATTCAAAATTCTCGTGTCTCTGCGCGCGCACATCGGCCGATTTCGAAAGAAAGTAACAGAATTGTATAATATATAATTCTGCTTAATAATATTATTATTATTTGTTTATTAATAATATTATACAATTATATAATAAGTAACAGAATTGTCTTTTTTTATCATTTATTGTCACCGAAAAGATCGTTCTAAATTTACAACGTCGCACACGTTGATCGAAATTTCAGATCGAATTTTCGATCTGACACGCGATCGTATACGAACGGGTCACGACGGACCCGGCATTCGCCGGGAACTGGATCGCAGACTCGGCTGAAAATTTGGTCCGCTCGGCGGTAAAAGACAAGAATGAACGAACGCGCCGTTGAAACGCGGCGATGGGACGTTAATAGGTTAAAAACCGTCGGCGTTCGATCGCGTGCTCTGCTATTTACGGTTCCCCGATACTATCCGCCGTACTACCGCGGCTATTTACTACCACCAGCGTATCCGGGGGGCCTGGTTTACAGGTTAGAAAACGAGTATACCGTTAAGCAGACGCCGGTGCCAGTGACAGTTTGTATCGCATCGCGGAGTCGATAGGACGTGGGCAGAGAGGAGAAGCGTCGTCGTCGGGAGCATCGAGCAACGCTCTCGTTCGAATCTCTCTCTATATGCGTGTCCGTCTCTCTTCTTACCTTTTCTACGATATTTCCCACGCCGGGAGTCGCCCGTCACATTCCAAGAAGCGTTGACGCGCGACGCAGTAGCCGGTCGCCACCGATGACGATGACGATGTATCCCCGGATATCCCAGATATCTGGCCGACGGCGAGCTGTTCCCGCGGTTAACCATCCAAGAGGGCCAACTCCAGGCTTCGCACGCGCGTCCGTCTCGTTTTTCTTTTTCACGCCACGCGAGCCCCGACGCGACGATGTCCCGTGAAATCCACGCCGACAGAGAGCAGTCGCACTGTCAACCGCGCCACTATCATCGAGCCCCGACGCGGAACGCGCGAGAGAGGAACGTCGGCGGAGGAAAAATACGTATCTCCGGTTCCGTGACGTTATCCTTTGTCGCCTGAGTCACACGCAGTAGCGGCAGCGGCGGCGGCGGCGACGACGACGCGCTCCGAAAAATCTGCTCGGCGACGATATCAAATCTGTTCTCGCGTGCCTTTGCTCGCTGGGTACGGGCGTACGCGGACTGCTATGGCTAGCGAGAGCAGAAGCGTGCGCCTCGTACGCTCGGACAACCGAGCTGCGATAATACGCTCGATCGTGACCGCTGATAGCCGAATCCTCCCGCACCAGGATCTCGCTCCGAGATCCCGAACATCTCCTACACAAACGCGCCGTTGGCTCTCTCTCTTTCTCTCCCACCGTCACGCTGTCTCTCTTCTCGGCTCTCTCGGCTCTCCTGTTGTGCCCGTCTCGGTGTACGCGTCGCGAGAGCGCGAGGCCAACGATAGCGCTCCGGATTCACGCGGCACGGAATTAACTCGCGCGTGGAACACTGACCGTCTCAATAGGCCCGCGATCGGGACGTCCTGGCATCCTGGTACGGGCGTCTTTCCTCTCTCGGTGCACGCGCGCACCGTGTGCTCTCCGGCCGCCGTCCTCCTCTCCTCCTCCCCGTCGGGGCGAGTTGTTTCCCCCCGCTTCGACAGAGCAACGTCCCCGTGACAAGGCCGGTCGAGATACACACGCACGATACGTGGCCTCCTCCCGACGAGAGAACGAACGAACGAACACCGACCGCACTTTTTTTCTTCTTCCTGGCACCCGTGATTGTTACGGGGCCCCGCGTTTCAACGGACAGCCGCGGCCTACGCGAGCGATACGACCGCTCCTCGACGATCCCCTGGGGACACGGCGGCTTCCGGGACACGATTTCGAGCGTGCACGTGCGGCAGAGTACGCAGAAACCGCAACTTTTTTACGGACACATCCCCGTACTTGTCTCCTCCTCGCCAACGCCTACACGATACACATTGCACGCAGCAACGACGCCCCTACACGCCGATCCCAGCGGCTCTCAATCCCTGGTGTCCCACGTCGATGCTTCTCAATGGGCCGTTTTGTCCCTAGATTGGTGTCCCTAGGACGGTCCTCCCGGCGCCGCACGGAACTAGCATGAAAGAAGGCGACGCCGTTCGTCGGCGGTGGATTCTCCGCTGCCACGTGTAGACTCGTTCGACTCGTCTGTATTTCATTTTTCAACGACCGTAGTTTGATCGCGAGACGAATGTTTGATTGCATTTTTTTTTTAATTCCGAGAGACGAGACACATCGGAAGGATGGAAGTTACTGCATAGGTGAACATAGACGCGATCGAAGAATGTACCTAGGGAAATTTAAGTCTGCGACATTATTTTGGGCTGTGTACGGAAGAAGGCGTACTTGGAAAAACGTTTACGAGAATTACTTTCGGTGGAGATGTATAGTCGTTCTTTTCATAGATCGCGCTCTCGTTAGTTGTGTTAATTTTTAATTAGAATATTTAGAGTTTTTAACATACTTGTCGATGCAATTTGAACGCCATCTATCGAGAAAACGCGCAAACTACTGGACAATTGATAACACTAGATGGCGCCGCGATCTGGTTCTTATCGTAAGAAAAGGATCGCTGGATTATACATATGGCGACATCTACAAAAAAACGTCCAAGCTACTAGACAATTGATAATACTAGATTCGTGATAGTTTGCGTTCAAATTGCATCGACAAGTATGTTAAAAACTCTAAATATTCTAATTAAAAATTAACACGAATAGAGCGAGAGCGCGATCTATGAAAAGAATGACTATACAGAAGAAAAGACTCGAGCAATCCGTTTACAAGTTCCACCACTTTTCTCCAAGATAGCAGTACTACTCACTTTCTATAAAAACAATAAATATTTATTATAAAAAAGAATATAACAATGTATAATATTAAGTAAATTACTCCTTATTTTAATTCGTAAGCTTGTATGATGCCACAACAAAGATTTATGAACTGTATATACTCGCTCCCACCGTCCAACAGTCTGTAGTTGCATTCCTACAAAACGGAGCGTAATTAATAATACAAATCCGAGTAAATATAGTTTTTCTACAAAATTTAAGGACACTTACTCCAAGCCGATCAGCTATCAAAGCTTTCTGTTTATCTGATAGTTCATTGGAGTATATAATTTTTTCACTTAGTTGCTCAATTACCTAAGGAAAAAAAGGAAATTAGAATATTATCATGATGTACAAATGCCTTTGCCCAATTAGTGCACTCACTTGTGACGTGGCATATGCTTCCAACATAAAGTTATCCACAAAAGCTTCAGCCTTGCTATAGTCCTTTGTTCTACACACATCTAACAATTCTTCCAACCATTTATCAGGAACAATCTGTAATTTTTTAGATCGTATTATATTAAAATAATGACGATAGAATTAACTAACAGGTTGTAGAGAAGAGGACAAGTTACCCCGATAATTTCGAGGACATCGTCGATCGTAATTTCGATGCCTTTGCCCTTTAATCTTGTAATAGACTGCAGACACGTTATAGCACGTCTCAGATCTCCTCCTGAAGCTTCCACAATTTTCAATAGAACAGGTTTTTCTGCTTTTATATCCTCCTTGTCACAAATATATTCTAATCTCTCAATAATTTTGTTTTCTCCGAGAGGCTTAAATCTGAACTTTGTACAACGAGAAGTCAATGGTTCTATGATTCTTGAGACATAATTGCAAATCAAACAGAAACGTGTACTGTGCGATTCTTTCTCCATAGTACGACGAAGAGCAGCTTGCGCCGCACTGGTCATACTGTCTGCTTCATCCAGGATAATAATTTTAAAAGGTGGACATTTTTTGCCACTGGAAAAAAATTATTCCTGTGAAAAGTATTATTCCCATTCTATGTTGTAGGATGGAGGTATTAAGTTTTCATTGCCTCAGATTGTGCCGTTCTCACAGAAACCACACGAGCACAGCAGCAGACTGCCGAAGAATAGTATATAATCTAGTTGTCTGCTCTAGAAACAGAACCAAAAGTTCGAATACTTTACGATACTTCTGGAATAGCCTGTCCATAGCATTTTATTATTCAGTTGGTAATAAGAGTTAAAAGAATACTTGGTTATAACACCTGATAACAACCATATTCTTAAAGCAGTCTCTGTGCTTAGCTCCAACGTGGTTCTCAAACCTTTTACTAAGCATCATTGGTATTCTGATTTTGTTATACTTATAAAAATGATTCAAATACAAACTTACTCCTCCCTCGTGCCACCCGCGGTAAGCTGAGCGAAGGTCTTTATCTTATCTCTAACAACTTGGATACCTCTTTCGTCGGAGGCATTTAATTCTAATATTCTCTGTTTGTAAAGGCTGCCAAATAACTGTCTGGCTGCAGCCAATATAGTACTCGTTTTACCAGTACCAGGAGGACCATAAAATAGCAGATTTGGAAAATCACTACCTTTCATACATTGTTTCAATACCTCAACCACTTCACCTTGTTCGACTACGTCTTCAACGGTTCTGGGGCGGCTGGAAAAGCACGAAAATCTTTATTTAAACTCATTAGAATATATTGTAACGCGTGATTCTGAATTAAGGTTAAACCGCAGCGATACTCACTATTTCTCAACCCATGGCGGCGCAGGACCACGTTCTTTCGCACTAGAGGTCGAAGGCTTTCTCGACTCTCCAGCTCCCAATTTTCCAGTTTTTAAAAAAGCGTGCATGTTTTTTCGTCAGCTCTGGAACTATCTGGAACTACTGTGAAACTAAACTCAAAATTCAATTAACCGGTGGAGATTCGTTCCCGCGCATTTTCCCTTTCGATCCACTCACGCCACTGTCGGAAATAAAATGCAATAAACTCCTATACACCTCTATAAGCCACCTACGTTTCTATGAATTACACTAGATCTCGAAAATTCCTAAATCTTTTCGTTGAAATTATAACAATATTCAAATGTACGAGATCGGTCATGAATATTTGTACAAACAAACGTGTAACAAAATGTAAGAGGATATCGAATACATGGAGAAGAATAAAAAATCTGACAATTTTCGAACTTACCGCACGCGTTGGCCTAGTTCCAAATTTCCCTCAGATTAGCAGCCACTCAGGCTCGTTACAAAACGAGCAAATTTGCCGTTTGTTCGTCGCGTATCGGCATTGTAAATAAAACGGAATGCTCGGCCGTGTACTGGTTTATCATACGCGTGATAAGGAAGAAGAATTTTTCTTAGGCTAGCTCGGATGATTGTTACCGTGCAACGACGTGTGTCCCAAATCATCGTTACCCCCATTGACATTATTTTTGTTGAGTTATCGTGCTGGGCCCCATTGAAAACAGTTTGAAAAATTACAATCGATAATTGTAATATTCATTTGGCGATTGTCAAATAAGACTTTGCGTGATCATCCGTGTAGAATGGAGCGTAACAATCGGTTCTACATCAAAAGATATTTAACTTACACTACGGATCCGATGCAATTCAATGTAAATTAAACGGGCATCGGTGTTGGCGTGCTTTCTTATGCAGCGATCTCTCACTTTAAACATGTGATATTTTCTTGTTGGCCTTACTTCGACGCAACACGTTTAAATAATGGTGTTCTGGATCTTTTCTCTGATAGCAATCATTTTGCATTTCAGTTCCGCTCAGACCAGTACGTATTCATAAATACTGTGTACCATAAAAGAGAGAATTTTCTATTTGTATTTACTTGTTTCACAGAACCAGAATCCGATGGTTATTGTCTCCCCTATAGGGGAAAGATCTGCAAAAAGTATCTAGATGGTATCGGGAAAGTATGGTTCAACGACTCCAACATTAATCCTGGAGGATTCCTGAATGAACAGATTACCACAAATTTGTGGAAGGAGTTGATAGAGAAGCTTCAAGAACCATGTCGTTCTGCCGCAGAGGTAGCCAGTTTCTTAAATAGCAACCAGATTTTTTTACTAACAATGTTATTCTTTCAGAAAATGCTGTGCATGTATGCCTTTCCGCAATGCCACAACTCGGTTGGGCTGCCATTATGTTACGAAGATTGCATGGCAGTACGTCATCAGTTCTGCTTTAACGATTGGGCAATGATAGAAGACAACAAGCAAAGGAAGATTTATATCAGATCAAGGGGACATTTTACACTTCCAGAATGCGAATCACTGCCAAAAGTAGTCAAAGGGAAAGTCACTTGTTCGCACATTCATTTGACTGATATGAACGAAGAGCTTGTTACATGTAATGCAGACTTTAAAGAAAATTCTTTTTCAATTTGATATGTGCTTTCTTTTACTTACTTATTGTTTCAGATGATTGTGTCAAGGGCAATGGCAGGTTTTATATGGGCAAAGTAAATACGACAAAGTTTGGTTTAGACTGTCAGGCATGGAGTGCACAAATACCCCATAATCACGACAGACCACCGGACGTCTTCCCACAAATTCGTGACGGCGAGAACTACTGTAGAAATGCCGGTGGAGAGGAACCAATGCCATGGTGCTTCACCATGGATCCTGCAAGACGGTGGCAACATTGTGATATTCCTATATGCGGTACGTTATTAATATTTAACGAGTTATCCGTTTGAATTGTCTATATTCATGGTCTGTTTCTTTTTTTGTCTATTATTTAGATAAAGTAACTAGTAAAGTACTGGATGTCGACCCAAAAGACTTAACAATGACTACACTGTTTACCCCAATGTTTATACTAATACTGTCCTCATTGGGATTTGTAATTATAGTCGGAACCGTATTGTCGATTGTTTTGAGTCACAGGCTTCACAAACGACACCAAGGATACAACCCAACAAATAACCAGGTACACTAAATCTGCTTGACTCTAAAATAATGCAGAATTAAAAATTATGTACTTGTGCAAGTTGTCCAGAAAAATTTTGCTGGGTCTGGACTTAATCTATCACTAGTTCTTTCAGTTATCAGCCTTAAATTTTTGGGTAATCTAGGAAAACTATTATTATCAAAGTCTGTAATGCCACATTATTTTCAGTATATAACCATCGATCTGGACAAACTGCCGAGCAACAACGCGTATCACAAGACAAGTGCCCAGCTGAATCCGAAACTAGAGAAGCTGGAATTCCCAAGGAACAATGTTATCTATGAGCGAGACTTAGGCCAAGGTGCTTTCGGCAGAGTATTCCAGGCGAAGGCACCCGGGTTGGTCCCAGGCGAGGAGTTCACAAACGTTGCTGTCAAGATGCTCAAGGATGAGGCATCGGAGGACCTGCTAAAGGATTTCGAGCGCGAGGCTTGTCTTTTAGCTGAATTCGATCACCCTAACATTGTGAAATTGCTGGGCGTTTGTGCGCTAGGACGGCCAATGTGCTTGCTGTTCGAGTACATGGGACGTGGTGACCTAAACGAGTTCTTGCGGTCCTGTTCACCCGGTAATTACATTATCCGAAGCTTGGAAAGGGACGAACATTTCACGGACTCGCGTCTGTCGCACATGGACTTGATCAACATCGCGCTGCAAGTAGCTTCCGGTATGGTGTACCTGTCCGACCGGAAGTTCGTTCATAGGGATCTCGCCACGCGCAACTGTTTGATCAACGACCAAATGATCGTGAAGATTGCCGACTTCGGGCTGTCACAGAAAATTTATCTGCAGGATTACTACAAAGGGGACGAGCAGGATGCGATCCCCGTCAGATGGATGCCTCTAGAGAGCATATTGTACAACAAATACACCGTCGAGTCCGACGTATGGGCGTTTGCGGTGTGCTTATGGGAGATATTTAGTTTCGCTCTTCAGCCTTACTATGGGATGACCCACGAGGAAGTTGTAAAGTATATTAAGGAAGGAAACGTACTTCAATGTCCGGAGCACACACCCTCGGCGATCTATGATTTAATGAAACTGTGCTGGAACAGGAGACCATCGGACCGACCAGCGTTCAGAACCATTTACAACACGTTGGACACCATAAAACACAATTTAGAAGCGGAGAACAAGTCGGACAGCGTGCCGCTGCGTATTCACGTTTGAACCTGATAATAATTTGTACTAAATAGGAACTCTATGATCCTAGAGAATTAGCAAATAAGTGATATTTATGCAAAGGTAACGGTAAGTGAATGGTAAATCGTACCTACGTGTTGCGCGTAACTGCCTTTGTTATGTTTGTTGCGTAGCCTCGTCGAACGAACTGACTGAAATGTTTATAAAAAGCGTTTGATATTAGTAGCCATTGTGTTTTACAACATTGAATATTCGAGTAAAACAAGGGCACAAATTCATTTACCTATTTTTTTTTAGTTTTTTGCTTGTAAATACATCACGTTACATTGAATATTTTGTTTTTAGAATGACTTTTTTTCTCGTTTTTTTAAAGACTACAACGAAAGTCTATCTAAATTGTTTCTAGACCACATTCCTAAGCGAATGGAGTAAGATGATATTTGGAACGTTTCCAGTACTCTACTGCTAATTTATGTTTATCCATAATTTATTTATATGCGTGTTTAAACTATTTTGTATCGATTTTACATGAACTTTTGTATTACGTTTACATCTATTGTGATTTCACGCATTCCGTCAACGAATTTTACAACATTACACGTACTGCCAGTGAGGATACTGATGATGAAGCATACTGAGATAAAGATTTCTGTGGTAACATAATACCGATAGATACAATGTTTCTTGTGTAAGTAGTAAGCAGACTGCCGATTTTTATACGCCGTAAAAAAATCATTTATTTATAATTGATATCAGCAGGCTATCAGTTTCATCGTATTTATGAACAAAATTGTCATTGATATTTCTTGAATCACAAAAAAATGAGACTTTATATTATATTTTTACAAATTTTACTGCCTTGTTACTCTCACGATTAGAAACTTGAAGACTGATGATGCATTTTTTAAAAATAAGTTTGAACAACAGTATAAATATGTAGTTAGTAATTATTTTTTTGAATTAGTTGCTTTATCAAAGCGCGGAGCTTCACCCTTCATTTGACTTGATCATAACTACACATATACCTATATATTTATACGTAATTATATGTATTAACGAATACATTTGCTGTATTTCCTCACTTCAGAACTGGAATATCTTAAGAGACATATGCTATGTTGGCAGACAGACTTTCCTATAGATATTTATATATATAAATATCTATAGGAAAGTCTGTCTGCCAACATAGCATATGTCTCTTAAGATATTCCAGTTCTGAAGCTGTCTCTTATACACATCAGATGTGTATAAGAGACAGCTTCAGAACTGGAATATCTTAAGAGACATATGCTATGTTGGCAGACAGACTTTCCTATAGATATTTATATATATAAATATCTATAGGAAAGTCTGTCTGCCAACATAGCATATGTCTCTTAAGATATTCCAGTTCTGAAGCTGTCTCTTATACACATCAGATGTGTATAAGAGACAGCTTCAGAACTGGAATATCTTAAGAGACATATGCTATGTTGGCAGACAGACTTTCCTATAGATATTTATATATATAAATATCTATAGGAAAGTCTGTCTGCCAACATAGCATATGTCTCTTAAGATATTCCAGTTCTGAAGCTGTCTCTTATACACATCAGATGTGTATAAGAGACAGCTTCAGAACTGGAATATCTTAAGAGACATATGCTATGTTGGCAGACAGACTTTCCTATAGATATTTATATATATAAATATCTATAGGAAAGTCTGTCTGCCAACATAGCATATGTCTCTTAAGATATTCCAGTTCTGAAGCTGTCTCTTATACACATCAGATGTGTATAAGAGACAGCTTCAGAACTGGAATATCTTAAGAGACATATGCTATGTTGGCAGACAGACTTTCCTATAGATATTTATATATATAAATATCTATAGGAAAGTCTGTCTGCCAACATAGCATATGTCTCTTAAGATATTCCAGTTCTGAAGCTGTCTCTTATACACATCAGATGTGTATAAGAGACAGCTTCAGAACTGGAATATCTTAAGAGACATATGCTATGTTGGCAGACAGACTTTCCTATAGATATTTATATATATAAATATATTATATATATATATAAAGAAGCAACAAATAATGATGTTTCGGTGAAGCCTAACACAGATAATTGACCTACTGAATTTATATAAACTACGTGAGCGATTCGGCCATAAAAAAGAATGGGTTTATATTTAGCGACGTTATATGTAAACTGTCCTTAATTGTTAGATGTTAGATCGTTGCTGTACCAAAAATAGCCTATTTAATGTACGAAGAATATCAATGAAAGCTATTATGACAAATGTTACAGTAAAGAAAAAAGAAATGAAACATTAAGTGAGTGTATACTGTGCAACTGTTATACATTAAGGTTTGAAAGTAAATCATTACTGTGCTGTAAAACGATATTTAAATGAATGTTTTAATTATAACATAGAATTGATTTAGAGTATTATTTGTTCTACGAGATATACGTATAACGCGCCTAATGCATTTTTCCTATCATAAGGATACATTTTCTTTTTTTTTTTTATCAGAGCAGGTATTTACTTTCAACTGTTGTGATACAATTCAGCACCTTCTAAGTGATATTAAATGTAATCCTTGCTTACTCCGTATTATGTAAATGTATTATAACCAGTCTATTAATTTGTGAATGTTGTATCCTATTCTTAAGTACCATAGATACGTATAGCTAATGAATGTCATTGTCTATTTGGTTCTCAATGAGTATGCATCGCAATAGGCAGTCGAATGTTCTTCGTTCCGCTGTAATTCTTGGTTGAGCATTAACAAATACTAAATGTAATACACGAAAGAAGATGAAAAAAAAATGTGAATGCAATATCCGAATGCTCTTCCATAAACCTTTTTATACACGACTTTTATATTGTGAAAAGAGAAGAAGAACTTCTACCAAGTTTGTGCTCTTACATCTGTGTACTTGTATCCTGTATAAGTAGTATTGTACGTGATATATATTTATGATGGTACGTACATAAATGCGTATCCGTCGGCGACCAAGAAAGAAACTTCTGGTATTATATACATTCGTTGAGTTCAGATACGTTATTGACAATGTAGACTCTATTCTGAATTTTATGTACAACAAAACTGTAATCTAATCAGTAAGAACATCGAGATTCCTCGATAATCTATTTTGAAGATCTGAGATGAAATTCATAAGTATCGGACTAAAATGAAAACAAATATATATATATTATATATAATTTAGAGGTAGCGACGTCTAATTTACATGTTCCTTTTTTCTCGCTGTAGAGAATCGTATTTAAATAAAAGTTAATGAAAATTATACAGGGTGAATCGTAAGAAGTAAGACAAAATGAAGATTTCAATGCAAATTTTATTTAGAGAGTAATACCACCTACCACGTGCTTTCGGGAAGTAATTAATGTTCAGAAAAAAAAGTTATGCTTATCTTTCAGGAATATGCAACATTGGTCTTAGGTATTTTTATTTAAAGATTTCTTGTGATTCGCCCTGTGGATTTTATTATTACGAATATCGGGGAATTATCAATGAAATAGTAAAAACGTGTTGAAAGAAGAACTGCTATGAAACTTTTACTAATGTACAACTTTTACAAGAAATAAACAACCAATTTCATGTACACTGTTTTTCATTTTGCATTGTCATTTGTATAGGAATAGAATATCAGGATATATTGCAGTACAAAACTGAATACATTGCTCCATAAATATATTTCTGCACATCTTCTCTTCAATAAACTAATGTCAAATTATTATGTATATAAAAAGCAGATATTTATATATATATGGTATAATACATTTGAGTTTCACTTAAAAACTATCTTACATGTGATGTATCTTTATATATATATAACTGCAAGTAACTATTGTGTATGTCCAGTAAATTGTTAACTATTTGAAAACAATGCGTGTGTTCTATTATTAATATATCTACTCTTGTTTAACGTACTTAACCGTCGTAAAATTAGGAACAGTTGTTATATAATTGAGAGAAAATCT